TAATTGTAACCAATCTTAACAAATTTGAGTTCCTGTGTTCCAAAAAAATTATTAAATATATTTACACTTTTTCGTTAAATTGTTTTCTTTTTCAAATTATTAAATTTCTTTAAACTTTATCATGCTTGTTCATTTTTTACTAAAGGGACTGTGTACACGTTTTTTACTGACCCTACCACTATAGTTTCAGTAGAAGTAAATATTTCTATTTAGTGTAAATATATATATAAGAATTTATCTCTAATATCCAATGAGATAGATAGAAAGATAGATGTTACCGCAATGCAATTTCTATTGGTTCAGAATAGACATCAAACACATGACTGAACCCTGATTGGATCAGGCGCTAATGGACTCGGCATACGAAAGGCTACATTGATAGAGTGGCTACAATTCACAATGGTACTCTTAAATGTTTTGTCTGATCATCAAGTATTAATTATATATCCATGTTTTTGTTTTAGAAAACAGATTATTGGTGATTTCTCTAGTGTCTTTCTTTACACACAATGGTGGAGCTATCGAAATTAAATTCTAAGCTGGAAACCCGAAATCATTTGTATTAATCCGAATAAGGTTTCAAGGGTACAGTTGTGAATCCGACATGTTATTTTTTAAAATAGGGTTCACTTAGAATTACAACTACAATCCCATTGATAAAATTTATTGAAACGTTTTCGTAAATTGGAGATAACTGAATCAATACAGATCACAGCATCTTGGAATTTTCGACTACTATTTCTCAAATTGTCTCAAAATTGAGAAATTGAGGAAAATTTTTAGAATTTTCAACCTCATGGAGTGGGATGTAAAGAAACAGTATAAAGTTGTAGAAATGTTGTAATTAGGGTAAAATGTTGAATCATGGTTAAAACAGAGAAACTAATTAGTAGAAAAATGTAGTTGGAATTGAATGACACGCTGTATAGGATGAAACCAGATGGGAGCTATCTATGAACTGCTCTGCTCTGCAGCATNTAGATAATGTGTGTATGTAACCGACACTACTAATCTAGGTACTATTATATATCTGACTCTGTAATTATCTATATCTATTAAGTGCCTGGTAACTATCTATCTATCTATCTGACTATATATGTTTTCAAAGAATCTTGACTACTGAGGATAGTAATGAGACGTGAATCATTATGTTTAGTATAATTCTTTTTTAATAAAATGTGAAGTTTAAAAAAGTATTTATTTATACACTTATTAACATATCTATTAATCTCTCAAGCTATATCTCTATCTATCTATCTTACTATATAAATATATATATATATATATATCACGCACCTCTGACACTTCAGTAAAAGTAAATTCAACCTAAAGTCTGACCGCGTCAACCTTGTTGCACCGGCTAGTCCTATTGAGTGTATGTTTTATTTACCCAATGTCTGGGCGATACAGTACAAACTGGGACCGGAAAAGTTGACCCGGCTCGGAAATACAAATGTACTGCGGCTGCCCGTGACTTCAGCTTCAACTTCAGATGATACGTCTTCCATCTAAAAAAATAAATTTGATTGTATCAACATTATGTTTTGTATTATATCTATCTATCAACCTAGCTATCTATATATTTTCCTAACCTAAGTTTCTTACGCAGCAACACTCCTGTATGCCGAGTCCATTAGCGCCTGATCCAATCAGATTTCAGTCATGTGTTTGCTGTCTATATTCTGAACCAATAGAAATGGTATGGCGGTAACTTTCTATCTATCTCACTATCCAATTAGAGATAAATCCTTTTATCGGCGCTAACAGTAAATGGAAATATTTACTTCTACTGAAACTATAGTGGCAAGGAAGATGTATATAAAAAGAAAAACATCTGAAGTGAATTTAATTTTTTTTTGTAAAAATCTTGAATATAAGCGACACCCTTTTTTTGAGAAGTTGTTTAGATTTACAGTTAATTCTAAAAAAGATAATATTGAATTTAAAAATTTGTTTGAATTTAAATAATTTGCCAAAAACAGTCAATGCGCATAAATTGAAGATTTCTACAGAACAACCCAAATATACTCCAGAAGTTGTTTAGTGTTGATAAACTTTTTTTAATCAAAACCATGCATGGAAAATAACTTGGTTTTTGTGACTTGAAAAGTGTTTAATTCTGATAATGTCTTCATTGTTTTTGAAACAATGCCACTCTATCAATGCAGGGTCACTTGAAATTACCCATCACTATGCATGATGTAACTATAAAAGCCCTGTCACCCTCCAATCAATCAATCAAGTTAAAGGAAATATCTATATTTTGTACCCAGGGTCCGCTAGCATGAATTACGGGTTAATTATAGAGAAACATGGAGGGATATATTTCATTTTAGTTAACTATGATGGATAGGTTTACAAATATATATTTCTACTACACTAAACTAGAGATAGGTTTACAATATATATACTTCTACTATACTAAACTAGAGATAGGTTTACAAATATATACTTCTACTACACTAAACTAGAGATAGGTTTACAAATATATACTTCTACTACACTAAACTCAAGATAGGTTTACAATATATACTTCTACTACACTAAACTAGAGATAGGTTTGCAATATATACTTCTTCTACACTAAACTAGAGATAGGTTTACAATATATGCTTCTACTACACTAAACTAGAGATAGGTTTACAATATATACTTCTACTACACTAAACTAGAGATAGGTTTACAATTTAAACTTCTACTACACTAAACTAGAGATAGGTTTACATTATAAACTTCTACTACACTAAACTAAAGATATGTTTACAAATATATACTTTTACTAACCTAAACTCAAGATATGTTTACAAATATATACTTCTACTACACTAAACTAAAGATATGTTTACAAATATATACTTTTACTAACCTAAACTCAAGATAATAGTTCTGTTAGTTGAATAAGACGACATTTAACATTTTAATACATTTTATAAAAAGATTTTTTGCCTGTTTTCAAAAACATCTCCATTTTCCAACGAATTATTGAGTTTAAAAATTGGGTTTTTAAAATTCTTTTTATTCACACTCTTGAGTGTTAAACTGAAAACTAGAGATGTAAAGGTCCCAAAGTCGGAAAAACTAATTTTTAAATTCCCTTTTTAAACAAATTTATTTCGTTTTTAAAATAAAAAGGTATAAGTTACGGTGTTATCAGAACTTCAAGTCGAACTGGTAACAATGCCATGAATTTAATTTTTATGTTTAGTTAGGCGTGCTATAAACTTGAAACTATACAAAAACGTAATCCTACTTAACAATTATATAGCAATAAAACATAATCAAATATTATTATTATTATTGGAAGTATGTATACCTATTCAAAATACATTATTTGTAAAACAATGAGAGTATTGATTTCATGCAGAACTTAGACAATAATTAGGTATTTTTTAACCAAACTATGTGGTTCTGTTGAGTTCTCCTATCAAAATTTGAGACAAATCAATGAAAAAGCCTTAGTTATGACAAGCACCCAGACAGACGAATAGAGATTACTGCTTTAACGGAGTGTTCAGGAAAAATGAAAGGGGGTATATAGGCTGATCCCAAATCGAATTTGGGTTTGCTCCCTATTAAATTTACTCTATCTATTGCGTGTCTATAAGGAGAAAATGGTTGTGGACGCCTCATCAGTTCTACGCTGAGTCGTTTTTAACCATTCTCTCCTTACAGACGCAACAGATAGAAGTAAAATTAGTAGCGAATAAACCCGAATTCGAATCAGGACCGAACTTAGCCCTCTTCGCGAACACTCCCTTTAAATATAAATGTTGTTCATTTTGAATGTATGTGTGTCTGTGAGTTTCAGTGTATGTCTGTTTGAGTGCATGTGAGTACCTAGTGTATGTCTGTCTGTGCGTCCATGAGTACTTAGTGTGTGTCTGTGAATACCTTGTGAATGTCTGTGTGTGTCCGTGAGTACTTAGTGTGTGTCTGTTAGTACCTAATGTATGTCTGTTTGTGTGTTCTTGAGTACTTAGTGTGTGTCTTTGAGTTCCTAGTGTATGTCTCTTGGTGCGTTCATGAGCACTTAGTGTGTGTCTTTAAGTACCTAGTGTATGTCTGTTTGTGTGTTCATGAGTACTTAGTGTGTGTCTGTGAGTACATGAGTACTTAGTGTGTGTCTTTGAGTTCCTAGTGTATGTCTGTTTGTGTGTTCATGAGTACTTAGTGTGTGTCTTTAAGTACTTAGTGTATGTCTATGTGTTTGTCCATGAGTTCTTAGTGTGTGTCTGTGAGTACTTAGTGAATGTCTGTGAGTGTCCATGAGTACTTAGTGTGTGTCTGTGAGTACCTAATGTATGTCGTTTGTGTGTCCTTGAGTACTTAGTGTCTGTCTTTGAGTACCTAGTGTGTGTCTGTTTGTGTGTTCATGAGTACTTAGTGTGTGCCTGTGAGTACCTAGTGTATGTCTGTTTGTGCGTTCATGAGTACTTAGTGTGTGTCTGTGAGTACCTAGTGTATGTCTGTTTTGTGTCTGTTAGAATCTAGTGTGTGTCTGTTTGTGTATATATATTCCTATGGGAGAAGTTAAGTAAAAGTAATGAAACACTTGAGAAAAGTAATTGTTTGTAGTATTTATATTTACAACAATGTAGTGATATTGATATAAAGTGAAGTTAAAGGGACTGTAAGCGAAACTTTAAGTGACCCTTCATGCAAAGATGGTAGTGCCCGATTCACAACAGTACCATTAAGAGAGCTGAGAATCGGGCTACAAAGATAAAAATATTTCGTTTTTTTTTAATTTTAATTTTTAGTTAATTTATTGTTTCATAAATAAAACGTTGAGGAAACAAGTCATAGAGCTATTAAGAAGAACAAAAATGTTTTGAATTTCTAGCAGCAATAATCTGTTTCTCTCATATTTGTGCATAAACCACTAGAAGAGCTAAGCCGTTCCAGTAAAGTTTGACCTGTACACGGGCAGCCGTAGTACATATGAATTTCCGAGCCGGGTCAACCTTTCCAGTCCCAGTTTGTTCTGTATCGCCCGGACAATGGGTAAGTAAAGCAGAGATACATTTTGACTAGCCGGTGCAACAAGGTTGACGCAGTCAGACTTTATGGTTCATATATGTTGAATTTACTTTTACTAAAGGGGCAGAGGCGCGTGTGCTCATTCTGTCTAGTGAACCGTATTGCAAAACGAGTTAAATTGTCACACTATATTCTCCATACAATTCTAAAATTAAAAATTTCGAATTAAAAAAAATATCAACTGCAACAACATTATTAACATTCTCTCTTGCAAAAGAGGACGCACACGGAGGAAACAATATTTATGAGGATGCACACGGAGGAACCACTAACAATGAGGACGCACATGGAGGAGACACCAACAAAGAGGACACACATGGAGGAAACACTAACAATCAGGACGCACATGGAGGAGAAACCAATAAAGAGGACACACATGGCAGAAACACTAACAATGAGGACACTCATGGAGGAAACACTAACAATGAGGACGCACATGGAGGAAACACTAACAATGAGGACGCACATGGAGGAGACACCACCAAAGAGGACACACATGGAGGAAACACTAACAATGAGGACGGTACAAGGAGGAAACACTAACAATGAGGACGCACATGCAGGAAACATTAACAATGAGGACGGTACAAGGAGGAAACACTAACAATGAGGACGCACATGAAGGAAACACTAACAATTAACTATGAGAGTGGAAAAAAGATGAGAGGGATACAGGTTTTATCATTTGTCCGTTGCTAAGGTTAAAAAACTAGTTTTTTCTGATGCTCTTGACAATTTTCTTTGTTTTTTTGTTAAAATTTACATATTTTTCAAGAGATTTACGAATTTAACGTTTCTAAACTCAGTGTTCCAAGACGGATATTTTGATTTTTGCATTTTTATCAAAAAATGCCAAAAAAGCTCTAAGAATCAAAACAAAGTACTTAATTTCCTGTGATACTGGTTTTATTGTAAATATTAAAAAGTTCAATATTTCTGTTTATAGCTATATTTTAGTTCCTTAAAAGATTGATAAAGAAACTCAAATATTAGAATCCCTATATCTTTGCAATCTGAGGGTTTAACTCATTTCAAAGTTAGACTATTTGATCTAATGGAATATATAGTGTCAAGAATCGGGTTGCATTGCAAAGAGCTAAAGGGATTATAAAATCAGAGTTTGTGACAAATACTCAATTCCTTTCCAATTTAATGATCTAATATTCCTCTAACAAATCAACAACATATTTATAAATCAGCTGGTCAGCGTTAGTAGCTATGATGTATGATGTATGGGTCCAGCCAGTGATTTCAACGAGATGATCAAACACAACATTCGGTAATCTATTCACTAAAATCAGTAGTTATGTAAGCTACGATTAGTTTCAAGAACAACCTTCCACCCCATTAAATTTTAAAGATTTTAGAGGTAACAAATATTTTGATAGATGAAAAACTAATTTACTACTTTTAATACTATTTTTGATTTGTATGAAGATGGAGAAAAAATGTTATGTTAATCTTTGGCTCTCTTCTAGAAAAATGCCCCTTAAAAATGATAAATTGGTAAAAAATTATAATATTTGTCTAACCTAGGATCTCAACATCATCTAAGCTGACTAAACTGTCATGGTCTCCTTTAAATATAGCTGTTGGAGCAGTAACCTAAAATCATAGATTAATTAAAGTAACAGATAGGACATGATTTATGTGTGTTTCGTTCAAATTAACCCTGAGGCAGAAGCCCAAAGGAGTTACGCGATGTTGGCGAGAGAAAGCCTGTTTTACGTCGACTACCCGTAACTCCTTTGGGCTTCTGCCTCAGGGTTTTTGTGAACGAAAACACTTAAATCTGTGTTGTATTTGTTATTTTAATTAATCTATGCCTAAAATTAAAAAAAGTCTTTGAACAGGATTCTAACCATATCATTTAGAACAATTTCTTTGTAATTTTGAATTTTATAAAGAAAAATGCCAAAAAGGAAACAAAGTTCAGACGAAAATGATGAACAAATTAAATAATCTGATACAATAAGAACCAGAAAACTCTGGAATACGAAGTTGTCTTTTAGCTCAAGTTATGACTTGGTTCAAGAAGTATAAGACACAGCAATTGTGCAGAGTAAACAAACCCATTTCAATTATTAAGTGATGTAATAACTTACTAGTAAAGCTAATTGTAAAAACATTGTAAAAACATCAAATGGACTTCAGTATTGCTTTAATGTCGTCTTCCTATTCCCCAGTTTATTGGTTATTTCTTTATAAGAGCCATGTTTATAATAGTATGTCACATAAGAATTTTCTTTAACTATGTTAAATTATGCTAAATTTTTACCCTGCAGACATAAAAGAGAAGGAGAAAACGAAAAATGAAAATGTTGGTTATCCCGTTTTTATTCATATCTTACATTAGTTAAAACCAAAGAGAATAGAATATATATTAGAGAGGAATTTACTAGAAAAAAGTGTAAAACGGCCATTTTGTTGAACTGTTTCCCTATAAATGATGTAAAGATTTTAATCATATATTAATTAGAATTAAAAATAACAGATAGGACATTAGATGTAGTCTTTTCAAGGTTTAGGGTTTTTTGTTCTCAATAACTCTGGGGCATGCTGCATAAAACTACAAGACAGAGAGAGAGCATGATTTTCGCTGACTGCAGGTAATTCCTTTGGGCTTCTGCCTCAGGGTTATTGTGATCAATAAATCCCTATATCTTGAAAAGACAACATCTAGTGTCCTATCTGTTATTTTATTTAATCTATGATTCTAATTGTCTAGTTTTTATTAAGTAACCTCTTGTTGAAGAATTGGGATCTCTCTCTAAAGAGTGATTACTGATCATAGAAATATTAAGTTTTTTGATTTTTTATATATGTTTACATTTAATGGCATCATTTATAAAAATAAGCTGTTACCATTTCCATCAGTGACACTGTTCTCATCCACATAGTAGACTTCACCAAGAGGAGATGTGAACCTGGAATGAACAACAATCAAATTTAAAACAATGAAGAAATAAAAATTGCTAATGAAATGTTTTTTGAAATATTTCTAAAAAAAATGAGCAGAGTTGATCAACTATAAATAATTATGTCATATTTATCTATCGATGTGTTANTCGTCTGATTATACCTTCTCTAGCTGATATTGCAATGGTGTCGTCTGATTATACCTTCTCTAGCTGATATTGCAATGGTGTCGTCTGATTATACCTTCTCTAGCTGATATTGCAATGGTGTCGTCTGATTATATCTTCTCAGATTTTCTGCTTCACCGAAATCATAGGACTCAAAATTTTCTATTTTGAGACATATAAGAGATACGGCATTTATCAAAATTACATCATATTGAGAGATAAAACTAGCTGAAGAGATCAGTACGTAGACACAGTGCTTTCCTATTCCAAGCTTATTTTGTTCAAATTTTGTGCTTTTTGTCATAGGTTCTTGTTTTGGATTTATTTTTAGGTTTCTTTTTTGTATTTACTCGTAAATAAGGTTTCCCATTTATTCAGATCAATTTGGATTCGTATAGGTCTCGCTAAACCTTTCCTGAAAACTGTTAAAAAAGAAAGACATTGTATATTAATTTACATTTTTGTAAAGTTCCATAAAAATAAACCTCTTTAGACTTTAACCACTTATACCGTACCATTGGCACACTTTTATTTTCTCTTGTATGTATTCCTGATAGAAAGAGTTGAGCATAGTGGGTAAAAGTTCTTGTTGAGGTACCTTCAGGTATATGGTCCAGGTAGGTAGGTATCATAGTACCATTCAACTCTCCTAGAAGATATATATAATATATTTATAGTTCAGGTATATGGTCCAGGTAGGTAGGTATCATAGTACCATTCATATATATATAGTTCAGGTATATGGTCCAGGTAGGTAGGTATCATGGCACCATTTAACTCTCCTAGAGAAGATAAAAGGTCAGGTAGTTAGGTACCTTTAGGTAATACCTTCTTCACCAAATTACGTAACTAAGATGCACATATAACGTAAAATTATGTGAATTAAGTTTAGTAAAATCGACATAAAATAAGATTATTTTATGTACCATTGGAGAAATTACGTACTGTTGCAATGCATTGGGGAAATATGTTTTAACATTGAGGGTTGCATACATTCTACATGTACACAATTTATATCTCGTTTGTCACAATAGTAAGTAAATTAAATGCTTAGTATCAAAAAGATTTCATCTAATATATACAGAGGTCCCGATTCAAACTTAATATCTTGGTTTTGTTTCAGCTCATCATCAAGCTTTGTGGGTACCCCTGCATGTACAGGATATATTTTTCCAACCTGGATTGAAGCCAAGGATAAGAAAACCAATGTTGGTACAAAGAATACTCGTCAATGGATGTTCATCGCCACAGAAACTAGAAAATAAAATAAAACATTTACTCCTAAACTAAAGTTTAAACAATCTGATAAGTTTGAAAATCACTGGGTCTGTGTACACTGCACATTTGCTATGTATAATGTTCATTGGACTATATTTGGAATCATAACTTGAGTCAAAGAAAAGTCTTCCTGTATGATAGTGTTAGGCTTCCCACTGTAGATTCTAGCTTTTTGATTGGCCTCTATACAATATCAAAATTACGCATTTTGCCAAAATTGTGCAGAATGATCCAATCAAATAATAATAAAAAATACCCTCATTGAGCAGTTTGCGCTTGTTTTGCAAAATTTATTTAGCAAAATCTTTTGCAATTCTGGTTTGCGGAATTAGCAATTTGCTTCTGTTGTAATGCATGTACCTGTGAGCAAACCATGAAATAATATCATAGTGTGGAAGAAATTCATAAAATCCAAACAAATGATACAGAATCTAAAAAATTAAAAGTTTAAATGAAAAAAAGAAGAAAATTTTTGTGTGTTTACCTCTACGTCTCCAGCCCAGACTGCAATATCAAATATTGGGTTGGATGCATGACTCATATATGCTGGAGGAGCCAGAAGAACACCAAGTTTTATCTAAAAATATAGGGTTGGATGCATGGTTCATATATGCTGGAGGAGCCAGAAGAACACCAAGTTTTATCTAAAAATATAGGGTTGGATGCATGGTTCATATATGCTGGAGGAGCCAGAAGAACACCAAGTTTTATCTAAAAATATTGGGTTGGATGCATGACTCATATACGCTGGAGGAGCCAGAAGAACACCAAGTTTTATCTAAAAATATAGGGTTGGATGCATGGTTCATATATGCTGGAGGAGCCAGAAGAACACCAAGTTTTATCTAAAAATATAGGGTTGGATGCATGGCTCATATATGCTGGAGGAGCCAGAAGAACACCAAGTTTTATCTAAAAATATTGGGTTGGATGCATGACTCATATACGCTGGAGGAGCCAGAAGAACACCAAGTTTTATCTAAAAATATAGGGTTGGATGCATGACTCATATATGCTGGAGGAGCCAGAAGAACACCAAGTTTTATCTAAAAATAGAACTCTACCCTTTTTATGACATTCATCTGAGCAACAATAAAGAAGATATACTCGTTTTTTTATTTTGAAAAGAGATAAATTCTATCAATTTTCTTCCTTGTCTCAGTATTACGGATGATAGATTTAATGGTACTAAAATGATATTTACCTTCTCATTATATTCAGGCCTCGAAGATAAAAGAACAAGATACTGAAAAAATTATATTTTGAATTTCTTAATCACCAGGCTCAAAATATTTTTTACAAGATAAGATCATACTGAATTGAGTGCATACTGAATTACAGCTTATTAGGTTATTGCTCGAATCAACCTTAGAACTATATGTTATTGGTCTAAAAAATTGTATATTAAGAACACCAAAATGTTGTCACCAAAAATATAAAAGGCCTATATGAATTTCTCAGGCTTAATCCATCTCATATTCTTTATTAATTTACCATGCTTTAAGAGTGCTTCCGTTCCAACCTCTATTTCAACTTTTAATTGTGGCTCTATCTGTGAGCATCTTCTTCTTGTATACAATTTAAAACAATACAACAAATTTGCGGATTTGATTATATTTATTTTGTGAGTTTTAAAATATTTGACAAAAATCAAGAATTTTTGAGAACAAATTTTTGTAATTCTAACCATCCATAAACCTTCCTTGGGGTCATGTGAGGTCTCAAAAAAATTTGGGCCCGATCGGTTCAGCCGTTTTGACGTTTATTGGATAATTTTATCCAATAAATGTTTTCAAAAGTAACTCTCAGATCATAAAAATAAAAAGTATTATGAAATATCAACTATACACGAATGCGTCGAAAAATTTTAGATGATTATAGGTTGTAATATTGAATGATTTGTCAGGAATTAAATTGATTTTTTTATGATCTCAGTCGTATGTTGCAATTGACTGAATTTTTATGGACACTACGTTCAACGGTAAGAGTAGTTTTTAACAATTTTCTCCTTATAGACGCAACAGATAGAAGTATGATCAGTAGTAATCACCATCGATAATTTTTAGACGTAAGCCTATACCCTCTTCCATTTTTCGCGAACACTCCCTTTAAGATCAATTTATTTTACCTGCGTTGTTCCCATGCTGTGTCCAATATAGTTAACTTGTTCCATTCCTGTACTCTTCAGAACAAAGTCAATACCTAAGAGTGTACATACGGTACAGGTGAGTTTTATTTACAATGGACCCCATGCAAAATTGCTACTTAAGTAATTGTAAATTGCAGAGCTAGGCCAACTATATTGACCCATGCCGTATGTCTGTCAGTATAGTTTATGTACGGGGGGCGGGGGTGTACAAACTAGGAATGTAAAGGTCAGTTCAGCTCAGATAAGATAAGATAAGATAAAGTTTATTGCTAAAATAAATGTATCTGTATACAGATACTGAAATGTAAAGGTCTTTAACAGTATAAAGGTGTTTTCTTTATAGCCTACAATCTTTTTACAGTATTTAGTGGGTTTTCATATTGTAAAACTGTTTTTACAGTGTACTTGGTTTTCTAGAGTGCAAAGATTTTTTACAGTGTAGTAGTTAATTTTTACAGTGTACAGTTTTTTTAAATGTGTACATGGGTTTCTATAGTATATTTTTACAGTGTCAGGGGTTTTCTTCAATGTATAGGTTTACAGAGTGCAGAATTGGAAATAAATAAAACGAACCTACATTCGTAAAACTGGGTTTTCTTTTAGGAATATGTCACAAATGTTTTTGAGTGGAAGATTTAATTTTGTAAACAAACTTTTATATTACTCATAAAGCATAAATGGTGAGAAAACACGGTGCTAGGTACTTTCCCAGAGCATTTTACCAAGGGCGACTTCCCAAGTGACAATTTCCCCAAGTGACAACTTTTCAATTGTGCAATTTCCCAAGTGGCAACTTCCCAAAGGTTATGATAGGCCTATGAGATGTCTCAGGCTGCAATGGAAACCAAGCGCTGTGGCTAGGATGGGCTAGGGGCCGAGCGCCGAGGCTAGAACAGGCTGGGGGGACCGAGCGCTGCGGCTAGGACAGACTTGGGAAGTTGCCGCTTGAAAAATTGCATATTTAGGAATTTGCCACTTGGGACAATACCCTTGGGAAGTTGCCACTTGAGAAAATGTCTTTTGGAAAGTACCAAACACCGAAAAGACGACAACCATTCAATTTGCATTGCTTTTTCCTTTAGATAGAGTACAACTACTGTTTTATTTACCAGCAGAGACATCATAAAGACCTCCTTCGTGCCAATCAAAATCCCAGAACTCCTTGAACAAGAATAAAAATAAATAACATAAGACACTTCTTGAAACTTAAACATTGGAATTTGAGCTCAAAAACTTTGATTTTCTAATTTCTATAACTTTGCAACCCAATGTCGTAGACCTTGGATATATCAAACTATCAATTCTGTTAGATCAAACAATTTAAGTTTAAAATATCATAGGTGTATGCAGTCAGGTTACAAAGATAAATGGGTTAGAAAATTTAAGTTTTTGTCAATTCTTTTTAATGCATTGAGGGCCTTAAAACAGTGAAATTCAATTTTTATTTTTTTATTTTAAAATGTCGCCGAAGGATTTTGTAAATTGCAATTAAACTGTTTCTTAAAAACATTTTTTCTGTTGCAACGGTTTTTATTACAAAATCTTCTTCAGTAAAACACGACATTTATTCCACAGTATTCTGGTACTGTACTGTACTGTACTGTACTGTACTGTACTGTACTGTACTGTACTGTACTGTATTGAAATGTACTATTCTGTACTATACTGTACTGTACTGTACCAGAATAGAAGTTTTTTCAGACTTTTAAACTTGGATGTCAAAATATTTTTTTACTTGCCTTACATCTTTCTAGTGCACAAGGATCCAAATATGTGTGATTTCTACAAAATTGTTTTTATTTTTTCAAAGAAATATTATTACTTTAATCGAATCGTCATTTTTTTAATTTTTTCAAAAAGAACATTTGTTAAAATTTAGCTTTAAATGTGTCCATTCCATAGATATTTTAATTCACCAACTGTATATTATAATATTCATATTTTTTCAAAATATGTTTTTTTTTAATATTTTTTTACATCACTTGACCTTGAATATGTGTTTCCTCGACTGTTAGACATCCATACATCATAACCCTTTGAAATAATTCAAACAGTAAAAAAAATTATTTTTTTAAAGTTGACTTTTACTCGTTACACGCACCTCTTTAGTAAAAGTAAATTCAACCTACAAGAAGCATAGAGTCTGACCGCGTCAAGACCTTGAATATGTGTTTCCTCGACTGTTAGACATCCATACATCATAACCCTTTGAAATAATTCAAACAATAAAAAAAAAATTTTTTAAGTTGACTTTTACTAATTACACGCACCTCTTTAGTAAAAGTAAATTCAACCTACAAGAAGCATAGAGTCTGACCGCGTCAACCTTGTTGCACCGCTAGTCCTGTTTATATAGCTAGGTACAGTACAAACAGGAACCGGAAAGGTTGATCCGGCTCGGAAATTCATATGTACTACGGCTGCCCGTGGTTATTCCGCAATAATATTTTTGAATTCCCACTTATTTACCCAGAATCAGGGCTGGGGGCTTTCCTATTTATTGGAAATTATTTGTTCCTTGTTCTGGAACAAGGGCCTTAAGTTGAAATGTTCGTTCTTTTTCAATCGTTCCACCCTCTTCCTTTTCGTTCCGTTCTTTATGTTCTTGATTTTGCGGCAAAGACTCTATGCCTTTAGATTTAGAATGCATTCTTGATTTTTAACGTTAACGATTCAAGACTGTTCTTTTCAAACAATTACCGTTCGTTCCACGCTCGTTAATTTATAGATCGTTCCTATATATTTAAGAACGCGTTCTTTGTGTTCATTCTTTTTTTTCAGAACAATGGCATCGTTCTTGATAATTCCGTTCGTTCCCCAGAATGAAGCTCAGCCGAACGGGCCAGAATATCTATATCAGTATATCTATATCTATATCAATATCAGAATATCAATATCAGAATATCTATAGACTACTCTGAAACTTAGTCATCAAATCAACTATAAAGTGCCCTGTGTCTTGGACTTTGGGTTTTATCTCACATCTCACTGATACTTTTTTGTAGCCCTAGACCTATAAATTTTAAAAAAGAGCTTGTTTCTAGCTTAGGGTAAATTAAATAATGGGCAAAATGCTGCTAGATTTTTGTTTGAGAGCGTGTACATTTTAGTTTGTAGTGCTGTATAATTCCATCACCTGATCTGCTAGAATAAATCCCAGGGATTTGGTTGGAGGACCAAACACCCAAGCTCCTAGATTCAATGCAACTTTTTTGTCTAAAGGGACTGTAGACGAAATTTAAATAGAGTCTTTAATTACAAAGGTGCATGTCCGATTCACAACTGTTCCCTTTAAATCCATCAAATTTTGATTGGGGAACTCGGGAGAACCACGGGAATGTTCGTAGCTTGGTTTTAAGATTCTAAGTTGATTGGGTCGACCAAGTGCGGGTAACCGGCGGGAGTAATTTTGAATACCCTGGGCAACGCTGGGTTCCCAAGCCAGTGAATCATGATTTTTTCTTCTTAAAATTTTTGATTCTATTATTTACATTGTATCCCTGATGACGCAGTAAGGGGGTGCTGCATGTACACAACAGGTCTAGGTTCATCATGTACATCTAATCCATCTTTACCGTACGGTATCCTGTGCAGACCTATGCATATTCATTCTATAAAGATTGCAAAAAAGTTTTTCCATTTCTAAAACGGTAAATTTTTATTTTATAAAAAAAAATGATAAAAGTGCTTTAATCATTAATTGGTAACTAACTCAGATATGTCAATAATTCCTTGAATATATTTAATTTTTTTAATGTTTTTATTTACTGACCAAGAATGTATCCATCCTCTGTAGTTACCCAATGCTCCTCTAAAAAAGAAAATTCGATTTAATGACCATTGTCCATTGTCTGTCCATTGTCCATTGTCCATTGTCTGTCCATTGTCCATTCAGTATTCTATTCTTTTTCAATTTTCTAAACTATATCTACTAATATTTCTAATTCTATGGTATAAGTTAATCAAATTCTTTACTAACTTTATATTCTACGATGTATCTCTTGTATCCGTTCTATTCTAATTAAATTTTCTAAATTGTATCCGTTCTATTCTAATTCTTTATTCTACATTGTATCCGTTCTATTCTATTTCTATTTTCTAAATTGTATCCGTTCTATTCTAATTATGTTTTCTAAATTGTATCCGTTCTATTCTAACTATATTTTCTAAGTTGTATCCGTTCTATTCTAATTCTGTATTCTAAATTGTATCCGTTCTATTCTAATTCTGTATTCTAAATTGTATCCGTTCCATTCTAATTATATATTCTAAGTTATATCCGTTCTTTTATTATTCTATTTCCTAAGATGTATCCGTTCTATTCTTATTATATATTCTAAGTTGTATCCGTTCTATTCTAATTATATTTTGGATTTTGATATTACATTGAAAACTTGCCTACAGGATATCCCCAATACTTTATCAGCTGTGGTACGGTCATTTCGGGGATTTCCCGATGATTAGATTCCGTCAAGAAATCCATGTATATGTCGTCTTCATCCCCACAAACATTCGTAAGGAGGGCAGATCCGAAGAGAAGCAAGATGGCGGATTTTAACATTTTCCTAAATAAATACTTTAATATGATTTTCAACTCTTTAATCCTAGGAGGACGGATTTATCCTTAATTATCTGAAGAAATTCTTGTAATTAATCTACACTTTGATTGCAAACTGTTTTAGATTTAAGAAGCATTCATATTTACTTTCTAAAAGTTGTAGAAAAAATATTTCTATCCCATTTCACCGATAAACAAACGGAGTTCTCTGTCCTCGATTATCCCCTTTTTACATGGCAAGTCACTTGAAATTACATTACAGTGATAACCAGAAAAAATGGAATAGAATGACGACATTATAGCAATAATTAAGCCTTTTCATATTGCTACAAAGCAAATATTTTTATTAGTAACTTAGCAAAACACTATTTCACTATGTCTAATGTTTATTGAGCTAGCTTATATGTATAATGCATAATGTTAAATGAACTAGTTTAAGTCCTGACTTGAGTTTAAAAGTCGTCTTCCTAGTTCAGAGTTTTCTGGTTATCACTGTATAACCAAAAAAGGGGCAGACACATAATTTAAAGTAGAAATTTGATCTATAATTTTGAAACACTTTCTCTGTGATTTTTTATAATCTGTAGGACGGTTCCAGCAAAGACCAGCAGATAAATGGCCTTGATTAGTTAATGGTTTAAAGGGGAATAAGATTCTATTTTTCTGCCCTTGCAAATAATTACCTCTACAGTTTCTTTAAGATTTTGAATTTATAATAATACGTTGCTAGCTTGTTTGTCTGTGTGAATCCAATAAACGTCAAAACGGCTGAACCAATCGGCCCAAATTTTTTATGGGACCACACATGTTCATGGAATTATAGATGCATGTCTTCAACAAATTTTATTTTCGGAAAATTTTGGCCGCGAAGCGCCCTGATGGCCTAGCTTAATAGATTTACCTTTTTTCCACCAGTTTCCTCTTTCAACTGTTAATCAAATCAATAAGATAAGATAAATATTGTTTATCAAAATAAACAATAATAAACAAATTTTTATCTTCCATTGACAAAACACGTTTTTATACAGAAATTAATGAATTGTTAGAATAAGAGAATTTTTAGCTCGTAAATAAAAACTTTAATGGATGGAGTCCTAGAAATAACACGAACAGAATTTTAACCCTTTAGTTGTAAAATGAGACATTTTTTAAAGATTGTGCTTTTTATTGCGTCTGTGCAATAAAACATTTGTGAACATAATTTACAGATGACGAAAAATGGATATTTTTTGTAGACTAAATTCTTACAATTCAACTTCCTATATTTAAATAATTTAAACCTCATCAGAAGTTTTGAGGAGTGGTTTTAGGGGGGATATTGTTGAACAGTTTATGACCTAATTAAGATGATAATATAACATAATTAAATCCTTAATTAGAACCTAAACCCTAACTTAATTATTACTTTCATATTTTTACGGCAATACTAAGCACAATGCATGCTCAGAAATAAATAGGTAAATTATTCAAATCTCCCGGGGTGGCGAGAAAACACTGTTTTCCAACATTGGGTGTTCTCCAGGGTTCTGTTCATGGACCCGTGTTAATCCAATTCTTGTAGATTTGTCTCCCTCCTGCTGGTGCCTTGTATAAACATGCCTTCTTAGTTCATGCATTCTGTTTATCTAGTTTGCATAATCATGTATGGAGATCTCTTTATCAAACCATTATTGTGTGTGTGTGAGTGAGTGTGTGAGTGCCTGTGTTGATATGACCACCTAGGTGGTATTTGCGCCAGGTCTAGTGCGGTGTGACAAATCCTATGGAATGAGTTCTCCTCAGGCGTTGTATGGGCGCACGCTGGTTTACACTCCTGAGCTGGGCTCTGGAACCCCTTTCACATACTATTCTGGTCCATCAATTACATCTCGGATGGTTTAAAAGCACCTTTATAAGATACACAAATAACTTGCAATATAGTAATTAACTGCTATCTCAGAATGTCAGGGAATATGAAACCTTACCTAGATTTGTACCAGTCCGACCATAACCTGTTAATAAACAGGGATTAATTCCGTTCAAGGATCATGGCTATATAAACAAGAATAAAGAACCAAGAACGACTTTTAAAAAGTCACTGTAACAAGGAAGAATGAATGTATCTGTAAAATGTACATGATTAAAAACCTTTTTCAACGTTTGTGTGGAATTGAAATTTCGACTTGTACATACGTTCAACTTAAAAACTACTTAAAATTAAACAAAGGCCTAAAAATCAATGGTTGAATTTGAAGTGTATCCAGGGCCCCTAAAGGTGCAGGCACCCCTAATACTATTGTAATTGAGTTGTTTCTATCTCTCCCTATGATATCAGCAGTAATAACTCATTCCAACCAACTATATATACTATAGTATACTTTGTATAAAAAGAAAGGATGAAAGTATGAAAAGATGGATGAAAGCTAGGGTGAACGGATACAAGGATGAAAGAATAAAAGGATGCAAGGATGAAAGAATAAAAGTATGAAAGGATGAAAGGATGAAAGGATGAAAGGATGAAAGGATGAAATGATGAAACGATGAAAGGATGAAAGAATGAAAGGATGAAAGCTAGGGTGAAAGAATGAAAGGATGAAAAGATGAAAGGATAAAAGAATGAAATAAAGAAAGGATAAAATGATTAAATGATGAAAGGATGAAAGGATGAAAGGATGAAAGGATGAAAGGATGAAAGGATGAANGTTCGAGAAAGAAAGAAAGAAAGAAAGAAAGAAAGGATGAAAGGATAAAAGAAAGAAAGAAAGGAAGAAAGAATGAATGCTCCTCATACTCCTGGAGTGAGGTTAATAGAAAAATGTAAGTCCTGGGAAACTGTAAAATAACACAAAAGTTTAAACGGTACCTTCCAACCTTAATCTGATCAAGCAGTCATGAACGGGTTATTCTTACTTTTCTGTCTAAAAATTGATCTGTTTGGTATTAATTTGATAATTGATAATGTTTAATTGAGGTTTTCTGCATAAGTTGATTTGCTGATTCATGCCGCAGGGGTTATAAAAGAATTGAGAGAAATTACATCTTTTCAAAACATAAGAATAACAACGATATGTTCTACTCAGCTGGGAAACAGATAAAAAATGAAAAAATTGGACATAAAACGCTTCAAATTAATAGTTACTTAGAATTAGGAACAAATTCGGTTAAATTTTTAAAGATTTAAATCGGTTTAATCATATTAATATTAATTTGTGTCAATTTTTAAGAATATTTTTCATGACCACCCCCTCCCCC